ATCCTTGCGACCTTTCTTCACCAGACTCTGCTCTCTACGCTTGTCCAGGGTTCAGGGGTTATAAGTTTTGAGAGTTTGTCGGTGATTGACGGTGACCAACCCACACGCCGCTGCGTGGTCGTTGCTTGCAAGAAGGTGCATTCTTGTTCAAGCTTTTTGGATGCTTGTTGTGCTTGGAGGCTGACCATCCGTAGGCTTGTGGCATCACAAAGAAGAGCTGACTCAAAGCGGCAAAGATTTTCAAGTTGCAGAAGTGGCGGTCTCAGATTTGGATTTTAAGTTTTGGAGGTTCTTCGTTTGCGAGGTGTGGTGGAGGCGACTTTGCTCTAAAAAATGTCATTTGCCTTTCTTTGGACTGCACGCAAGAAAACGAATACGAGACTCCCAAACCCATTTAAACCCCAAACCCTAAACCCTATACCCTAGAAGCCCTAAGCCCTCAACCCTGAAAGCCCTGGCCAAACACGATACCCTGAACCCTAAACTGTCGAAGCCCTAAACCCCAAACCCTAAACCCCACACCCGAAGCCCTCGAAGCCCTAAGCCCTACAAGCCCGGGAAGCAGGTGGAAGTTCGTTTCCTTGCTCCTGAGATTCTTGATCGAACCATTGGGTAACATTTTACACGTTTCAGGGGTATAAAATCACATGTTTTATAGGAACCTATTTAAAGTTACATTTTTATGGGCACCTAAACCCAGTAAGGAGCATAATCTCACATTTCTCAAAAGGTACCAGAACTAAATAAGGAATCTAAGTTCACATTTTTTAAGGGTACCTGAACCTAACATCTTCCCACTATGATTTAGGATTCGGTTGGCGGCCCATGCTTACCGCTTGGGCCATCGGCACCTTCACCACTGCAGCCCTGTGCCTGATGGGTGTTTTGCCATTGCCCCTTGTCTGAGCTTTATGTGACGAGTGTTGTTCTGTGATGTTTGTTTGTGGTTTCTGCTTTTTTTTGCAGATGCTGCTGGGCGCCGAGAACAGCAGGGAGCATCAGCTGCTGCAGCAGCAGTCGTGCGAATTCGTGTCTGGGAAGGGGCCACCTCTGTCTGTTTCATTTGTGTCGCCTTGTTCCTCGTCATTGTTGTCATTGCTGCTGAGTGTTCACAGTAGTAGTATTGTTGCATGTTGTTCCTCCATCCAGTATACTTAATTAGCGTGTCTAAGCTTTTCCATTTCAGTAATGTGTTCACTATTGGTGTTTGCCTTCCTTATCGTTGCTGCTGCTGTCGTTGTGCAGGCTGCTGGGGCAGTTCTTTGCCAAGTAAAGGAAATACTATACCTAAGTATCCACTGTTAGCTCGGATGTCTGGCTGTATCAGCGGTATCTCAATCAGGATTCTTCATGGAACAACGACGACACATAAGCTTCGACACATGTTGAGGTCATACAGAGTCGATGCTGTGGTAATTGGAGATGGCTCTCCGGTGAACGTGGGCACCTGGCTCATTTCGGCCGGCTTCGTCTCGTCCATGATCGGCTTGATCGTGTCTCCATATCTACCTTCCCGAAGGTGCCCGAAACTGCATGTTGTAGCTTTCAGCCCTTTTAACTTCACAGGCGAACCTGAAACCCGACACAGTGGCACCGTCTACTATCATACGATTGCACTCTTCCGCGGCTTTTCTGAGTTGGCATCTCCTCGCTGCATGTATGTATGTCTATGTATGTGTATATGTATATG